AATAAGAGAGTGTAGGGTATTTACGTACATCAATTCGTGAAATATTAATGGGTAGATATGTGGGGTGATATTTTGGCAATATTTATAGAAATGTGCAATTTTCATACCCTCTCCACTTTACCCCAGTTTCAGTTTGTTATGTTTTTCCTATGCACATTTGCCCAAGAACTAATGTCTAAAGGTGTTGATTCAGTTCTGTTAAGCATAGAAACTAATGGGAAATACTTATGCGTCCATCAGGAGGAAAATAGTTGAATTAATTATGGAACATACATACTTTAGAATCCTAGGGAGTAGTTAAAATAATGAGGTGAATTTATATGTGTTGTCATGGAATGATGCTGCATTCGTTTTATTAAGTGACAAAGGCAAGTGGGAGAACAGTATGTACGTCACTACCCAGTCTGTTAAAAAAAAAATCACAGTATATTTTTATAGCGCATCTATGTATTAAAAAGCTTAAGATTACCTTTAAAATAATAGGCACCATATTTTTTTTATTGTAGTTACCTCTGAGGAGAAAGCAGAGTTTTAGAGGAACGTGGTAAAGGGAAGGGATAGATTTATGTATGTTGTTAGAAATACTTGCAACGGGAGAATATATGCACTATTATTAGCTTTGTCATTAAAAATTTTAAATACGCTTAACAACATAAATAGTACCTGTTTATTAGCTAGATAAAATAACTGCTAGCTGATGCAAAACATAAAACATAAAATCTGAATGACTTAACAAGGGTTTATTTCTTGTGCACATAAAATTTGATGTGCATCTTTGCTCACTGGTGACTCAGACGTAGGCTGCTTCCATCTTGTAGTTCCATGTCTCAACACGAGCTGTCCATCTTTCTACTGAATGCAAGAAAGAAAGTGGAGGTAGCATCCTGGATCTCAAATGAGTTGGCCCAGAAATGACAAATACTTCTTCTGGCAAGAGTAGTCACATGATCCTTTTTTTTTTTTTTTAAGATTTTATTTATTTGTCAGAGAGAGACAGAGCAAGAGCACAAGAAGGGGGAGCGGCAGGCAGAGGGAGAAGCAGGCTCCCCGCTGAGCAGGGAGCCCGATGCGGGGCTGGATCCCAGGACCCTGGGATCATGACCTGAGTCGAAGGCAGACGCTTAATTGAGCTACCCAGGCGCCCCTGCCTGACCCTTCTTAATTGCAAGTGGACTGGGAATGTAGCTTTCCTGTGAACCCAGGAAAGGAGCCAAGAAAGGATGTGCATGAGCACTTGCAGTCCCTTCCTTTGTTATAAAGAGCAACTATTATGGTTTGTTAGGACAGTAACCCTCTGTTTCCTGGAGTAGTTTCTGTGAAGCCTGTTCTTCGCCTTGCAGCTGGCCTTTTTGGAACATGCTTTCAAGTACAGGATCACATCTGATTTTTAAAAGAACCCTGTAAATCCCTACAGGAAAGGTTCACCCTTCTTCACTCAGTAGCACAAACTTGCAAAAACCTCTATAATTTCAATAGGTGAGAATTACCTCGTTCTTTTTGCTGCATGGTCAGTATCTTAACTTGAGAGCATCTACTGTATACCACCGGACTGAGTGCGCCTGAACATCTGTACAGTGCTACTAGGCACCGTGAAAACAAGGACTTCGTTCTGGGGAAAGTACACAAGCTACAGATAACATAAGGATGGCGAGCTATTTTTTTTTTTTTTTCTTTTTTAATCAGTATAGCACGTTAGGCCAGGGAACCAATCCTGGGCATCTCCATTCTTCCTGCTTCCTAGGACTTCCGGGGTTATAGGAATTCAGACTTGGGATTTATAGATGTTTGCTTGCACAGGGATTTCCATGGTCTTGCCCCCTCTCTCTCTTAAGAGTGAGGCTTTGGTTTTTGACCACCTAGGTATGCTTACTCATTGGTATCTCTTCAGTGGCTAGTCCCAAATAGGACATCCCATTAAAATCCTACTACAAATATCAAGGTGGTTTCAAAATCTTCTCTTAGTTCACGTTTACATCCCAAGAAGCAGTATGTTCTGTGCCTACTTAGACTCCACTGACAAGCCCACTTGTAAAACACTTGGAGAGTATGGTGAAGAAGCCCATCAGGGAATGACCATGTACCTAAACTTCACTCTTTTTTTTTTTTTTTAAAGATTATTTATTTATTTATTTATTTATTTGAGAGAGAGAATGAGATAGAGCATGAGAGGGGGGAGGGTCAGAGGGAGAAGCAGACTCCCTGCCGAGCAGGGAGCCCGATGCGGGACTCGATCCCGGGACTCCAGGATCATGACCTGAGCCGAAGGCAGTCACTCAACCAACTGAGCCACCCAGGCGCCCCTAAACTTCACTCTTTAAAGAGAAACAGTTGCAGCACCTGGGTGGCTCAGTCAGTTACGCATCCGACTCTTGGTTTTGGCTCAGGTCATGATCTCAGGTCGTGAGATCGAGCCCTGCATCGGGGCTCTGTGCTCAGCACAGAGTCCGCTTGAGATTCTTTCCCACCCCCTCCTCTGCTCCTCCCGCGCCCCCCCGCCCCCACACTCTGTGTCTCTCAAATAAATAAATAAATAAAATCTTTTAAGAGAAGGGGTTGTAGCAGAGGGATCCCATGGTGAAAGTCAGCTAGGAGATGCCTGCAGAAAATGGAATCCTCTGAGTCAGGGGGAGGGCAGGTGGTCCTGGACTGTCTGTTCCACTGGAAGCAGGGGACAGTGTCCAGAGGAAGACGCACTGAAGGGCTGGACAGCAGGTCAGCTTCCAGAGTTGGACAGGAGGGCGATGAGGGAAGACTCGGGGGAAGGGTCCCGTAATGTGGGAAAGTGTTGGGACTGCACACCCGTGTCAGTTACTGAGCAGAGGCAACTCTCGAGGCACCCTGCGGTGAGGCAGCAGTCTGGGTAAATGAACCCCACAGACAATGCCCAAATTGTGTGTGATTCGCATTTTCACATTCCTTCATTTTATCCATTCGTTTTTCCTACTTTGGCTACAAGGTCCTTCTTTTTACCTCCTAAGAAACATTATGGAGGAGTAAGAAGAGAAATGAGTTAACAGAAGGTTGTCCCCAGGGGGCATCTGGGTGGCTCAGTTGGTTGAGCATCTGCCTTAGGCCCAGGTCATGATCCAGGGTCCTGGGATTGAGCTCCGGGTCAGGCTCCCTGCTCAGCGGCGAGTCTGCTTCTCCCTCTCCCTTTACCTGCCCCTCCCCCTGCTTGTGCGCTGGCACGCTCGCTCGCACATGCGCGCTCTCTCTCTCTGTCAAATAAAATCTTAAAAAAAAAAGGTTGTCCCCAGGTTGGAAGGAGTAGGAAGAATAGCATGGGCTCTGGAAGAATTCAAACAGGAGGTCTAGTCCCAACTCTGTCACATACTAGGCCTGCGATTTGTGAACATTCACAGACTTTCTAAGCCTCACGTTTTTTGTCTTGAAATGGGCTTGATCAGCCCTGTCTTGTATGCATGACCATTAGAATGTATGTGTTGTACGTCAAGTTCCTGGCACGGTGCACGGTGCATGGTGTGTGTGGGGTCTTTGATGATCGGCAATTACTACTATGATGATTTTGACCCCAGACATTAGTGCCTTCCTCTCTGGGACTTGTTAACCCAGGAGATGTCAGAGAATACACAGTGTTCTAGGACACGGCACACCAAACCAGCCCAAATGGCTGCTTAACAAGAAAACCTTAGTAAATCTTCCCCAGTAGAGGATATATTATTTAACTTGGGTTTGGGGGAGTAGTTCTCAACTGAACACAACTCCACACTCCTAGAATTTGTGTCAAGGACCAACTCGTTCCTTCCCTCCCAGCTGCCCCTCCAATAATCCATCTCTATTTTCATTCACTTACCTTCTCGAAAAATCTAGGCCTTGCTTAGAGTTTGCCAAAGTGTATTGAACATAACCCATTCAATGAATGGTATAGGCTCTGGATCTCTGAGCCCAGGGCAGAGTGCCAGCCCAGTGGCTTTTGGGTATCTCACCTCAAGGAAATGTCACCCTCATTTCTCACAAACTCCTTGAAGATGATGTTCATGAAACACCTAATTTGTGCATTGTGTTCAACTGCGCTTGAGCAAGAATGCAGGATAGCTTCCATTCTTGTCCCAGGTGGGATCTGGTCCAACCCATAATCCCAAAGTAGCCGCTAAGAACAGTTTTCATTCTCAACCCTGAGACACACCATTTGAGGGTCTGACCCCTGTTCACCACTCCCATAGCCTCAGCTAGTGTACTACAGCTTAATTTAAAATTACCTCCCACTGAAGGGCTTGTAATTTCCCAAGTCCACAGCCTGTCTCAGGATATTTATACTTGACTGCCTTCATATGGAACCCCCCCCAACCTCTTCATTCCTTTTTACTTTTTCTTTTGGTATTAAAGGATACTCAACCATTATTTTCTTTACATGATTCTTGCTCCTAGAATCTAAAATCTATGGGCAGGTAGTGAGTCTTGTTTATCCTAGCATCCCCACTACTAACACAGTGCTTTCCAAAAGGCAGATGCTGAATTAATATTTGTATATAAATGAGCCAGTGTACCTGGGGTATAATTTATTAATATTTATTTTTCACATATTCTTAAATAATCCAGAATCCAAGCAAATGTCTGTATATGTTATTTAATTTTACAGAACAGCAGATTGGGAGGGTTAAGAGAGGCTAAGAATTGGCCATCTTTTGGTATCTTTTGACCATCTTTAGGGTTTTTTTCCCTGATCCCAACTATTTTACTGCTGAATTCTTTGACACTTCCAAAGAAAGGCCTATTTGAATATCATTGACCTTTTCCAGGTGACAAAATAAGATGGTCCATTTTGTTTTACAAACAAGCAAAACTGGTATTCTTAAGTTTTGTAAGTAGTAATAAACGTATGACCAGTGTCATTCATAAACTTAAGATTCTAAAGCTAATAAAATGGTGTATTAAAGGGCACAACATTTGAAACCAAACTCCCCTCCCCCCACCCATGAAGAAGATAAACCTCCCCATGAACCATATAGAAAAGGGACACAGAGATGTTACACGCGGTGTTCCCTACAGCCACACCCCAGCACTCCACTACTTAGGTTGACTGCTAATTTTAATGACAAAGTGAGGAATCTGCCTCCCACCCCACTAGGGCTGGGTGGGCCGGGAGGGGATGCCAGATCCTGAACCGGAATGGGCACTGCCCATGGCACTAGCGCCCTCCTTGGCTGCTGGTCTGGCTCGGGCTCTCTCTGCTTGATCTCTCAAAGCCTCCTCATACTGGGATGGGAAGCAGCTGGGGTCGGACTCGTGGATCTTCGTCAAAAATTCCAGCAATTTCATCTTGCTGGCTTCAGCGTGGGCTCTGGGGCCCCACAGGAACTCGTAGCGTGGAGGATCACTGTTGGCCACCTGGCGGTACTCCAGGTACTCTTCTTGTACCAAATCTTGGGTGATGAACTCCCTGGGCTCCCCAATGATGAAGTGCTTCCTCCCAGCATATAAGTCCATCATATTCAGCACTTCCCAGATCTCTTCCTCAGTGGCACAATTGCCCTTCATGAAGATCACGCCCAGGACAATTATCAGGAGGCTGGCCTTGGGCATGGTGTCCTCATCACAGAGCCTCGAATCGTAAGTGAGGCCCACTTTGTTGACAAGGACATAAGTGTGGCTGGTGGGGTCCACCTCATTCATATCAACACCAAAGACCAGCTCTATGCGCTCGGAGGCTTTCCTGAGGATCTCAGGGAAGTCATCATTGCACTCTTGGATAACATCAATCATATCTGCCCTTGTGATGGGCTCTTTCATTTGATACTTGTGCAGCAGGAACTGCACCAGCATCATCACCTTGTCATCTTGAGGGTCTATGGGGAAGTTCTCGAAGTCGGACAGGGACCCTGATGAAGAAGATAAACTGTCTTCCTTTTCTTGGCTGCTGGAGCCCTCATCTGATTTGCTTGGTGAGATGGCCGTGATGACAGTGTAAGATGAGTAGGCACTCTGAGGATCCAAGGGAGTGGTGGATATTCCAGCAGCCAGAGCTTCCTCCATGTTGCCAGGCATCAGAGGACAAATGGAAGGAGAGGCCTCCTCCACAGCCTTGGAGACCTGTGTAGCCTCCAGGCCTTGGATATCACTGGGGGCACAGTGTTGTTCCTGTGTGCAGCTTGGGATCTCCTGACCCTGAGACATGCTCACTTCTGTTAGTGGTAGCAGGCAGGAATGTGGGCAGAAGGGTGGATGATAGGGGACCACAACCTAGGGAGAAAGGGAGGATGTGAGTGGCCTCATCTGGTAAACACAACTGTGGCAGCTCTGATGAAGAGTGTCTCCACCCATCTTTTCCTGAGAACAGTGCTCTAGAGCCTCACAGGTCTCCTTTCCTGACCTGCAAGAAGCTGGAGGAGGAAGTGAAAAGGCTCCTCAGGGTGCAGCCGGCTGACACAGCCAAGGCTTCCCATGGCTGACAACAGGGTAGGTAGGGTTCGGCTCTGTGGGATCCTTTCTGTTTTAGAGTGAGTGGCCCCCTCTGTCTTTGTTCAAAGTCCTCATTGTGACCCCAGGGAGTATCTGGGACTCCACCCTCTACACACCCAAGGATTATCACCTCAGAAAGAGACCTTAATCTCCTTGAGCCTCTTGAGTTAAAAAGCAAAGGCTTGCCTCTGACTGACAACACTTCTCAGAGCCTCTCAGCTCTGAGAGACAAATACCAAGGGAAAGGAAGTAGGGGGGTGCCTCTTAGGTCACACCCTCCTGGGCCTCCCAGAGGTGACAGAGGAAGGCAGCCATCTGTTAGGGGCTCTGTTGTTCTGGCATGTGTGGTCCCCTCCAGCCTCACTTGAGGTCCTAACTTTGACCTTGACAGAGATGAAGATAATTTCTGTCTGCTCACTTGAGACAACAGTCCTCAAACTCCCAAAGTCAAAGTCAGAAGGCACCAAAGTCTGTCAACTATTCCAGGGCCTACCCAGTCTGACAATAGGAATAGGGCTCTGTAGGGCTCCCGCTATTCTGGAGTGTGTGATTCCCTCCAGTCTCTACTCAGCATCTTACTTGGATTCCTGGCAGGGCCTGGGATTCCTTTTTCTGCTTACTTGAGGCTGGACCTCTCAAGGTCTTCACCATCCTCACACTCTCCAGGCAAAAATCAGGGGAAGACACTCCTGGCCACCCCCTCCTCCTCCCAGGGCTGACACCAGTTCTGAGGGGTCTTCTCCATTCTAGCGGAGAGGTCTCCTCATTCCTCACTCAGCATCTGACCTTGACCCTTGGGAAGGTCTGAGACTCCTCCCTCTGATCACTTGATGCCACCTTCCTCAGAATGGGCCTTACCTTCCTACAAACCGAAAGTAGAAGTCAGGGGGCAACCCAGTCTGACGGCTGTTTCAGAGCCTCCCAGAGCTCACAGCGGGGACTGGGTGCATATCTAGAGGATCCCTCTATTGTGAGGTGGTGGGGTGGTCACATCCGCCCCTGCTCAGAGTCTTCCGTTGAGAGTGGGCAGGCCTGCCGTTTCTCCCTGGCTGAACTGAGACCTCCCTCAGAACAAAGAACTTCCTGCCCTCAGATTCTCCAGCCAGTCAGTGGATGCCAATTCCAGCTACCCCTGCCCAACACCTCCCAGGGGTGACGATAGGGGTTGGGATCTGTATAGTCCCTTCCAGTGTGGAGTGGATGTTCCCTCAATCTTCACTGAGCGTCTTACCTTGACTGTGGTAGAGGCTGGGACTCTCCTTCAGCTGACTGGAGCCTCCACTTAGACTCCTGAGGAAAAGTGAAGGGAAAGCACTGCCAGGCATGCCCTCCCCCCACCCACAGCTCCACCTTTATCCACCCAGGGCTGACAGTACAGCTCTAAGGGGCCCCTCAGTCGTCACAGTCCTCTGTTGACGTGGCCGCCACCGCCCCACCCCCACCCCAGACTGTGGCCCTCACCACCCTCGGATTCCTGAGGCTCCAGTCAGTGGGTGCCCTCAGTCTGACCGTTATTTCAGGGGTTTTCTGGGATGAGAATAGAGGGCTTTACTCAATGGGCCAGCTCCCTTTTATTCTGGCGTCGTTGGCTCCCTGAATGATATCATTCAGTATCCTCACTTGACCAGTCATAGGTTTCTCCTTCTGCCGATAGAGGCCACGCCTTCCAGTACCAGCCTTCGCCGACCGAACTTTCAAAGTGGAAGTTAGGGGACGTTCCTTCCGCTTCTGCTCCCCGTCCGCTCCCCCCTCCCATGTCCGGGTCCTCCCAGAGTCGAGAGCAGGAGTAAGGTTCCGTGGGGCTCCTTGTGTTCCGGGGTGGTTAACCTCATTCAGTGTTGTTGGCACCTGGAGTCCCTTCAGGGCCAGGGAGTCCTCCCTCTGAATTGAGGTTATGCCCCGTCCGCCAAGATCCTCACCACTGTCAGACTCCCAAGAGGCTGGAGTCAGAGAGAGCCTCTGATAGTTATCTTGGAGCTTCCCATTGCCAACAGTCGTGGAGGAACCCTTAGAGCTCCCTCCATTCTGGAGTCAGGGGTGCCCTCAGCCAGGGACTCCCTCCTCTGCTAACCTGAGACCACACCCCCTTAACTGAAGGCCCTCACTGCCTTTAGAATACTGAGGCCAAAGTCAAAGGACACCACTTCCGGCCACCTCTGCCGGTCGTCTCCCAGGGTTGAGAGCAGGGGCGGAGCTTTATGGGGTGCTCCTCTTCTGCCGCAAGTGCTTCCTGTAGCCCTCACTTAAGGTCCATACCTTGGCTCCAGTCTTTTTGATTAATTACTTCCTAAGCAATGCCACCTTCTTGCCAATCTCTGTATTTGCCCCACTGTGATTCTCCTAGAGATTGAGTCCAAGTTCCAGGCTAGACAGTAGGTGGTGAAGCTGCAGCACAGCACATAAAAAACACATGGCTTCCCATGGGGTCCCTTCTCCAGCCAATTGGGAGCCTTCTTTTCTTTTTTTTTTTAAATTTTATTTATTTATTTGACAGGGAGAGAGAGACAGCGAGAGAGAGAACACAAGCAGGGGGAGTGGGAGAGGGAGAAGCAGGCTTCCCGCTGAGCAAGGAGCCCGATGCGGGGCTCGATCCCAGGACCCTGGGATCATGACCTGAGCTGAAGGCAGACGCTTAACGACTGAGCCACCCAGGCGCTCCTGGGAGCCTTCTTTTCTAAAAGATTCACGTTCTATGGGGAAGAGCCTTGTATAGACACATACGGAGCATAGGGAGGTGTTGAAGTGTTTTGCAAATGATTTGTTATTGATCAGAGTTGTCTTCAGTGACTGTGTTCTCACGGCAAACATTTCAAACAATACAGTCAAAACAGAATTCTCCCTTGCTTTTTCAATCCTGTCACCTGCACCACCATATAACCTTATTATGAATAAATTTTGTATGGGTATAATTGTGCATTTGACTTATATCAATCAAGCTTATGTAAATTATATAAATGTAATAATAAAGTACATACTGTTTTGCTATTTGCTTTTTCATTCAATTGATAATCCATCTTTTTTTTAAATTTTATTATGTTAGTCATCATACATTACATCATTAGTTTTTGATGTAGTGATCCACGATTCAATTGATAATCCATCTTAAGGAATGTCCCAAATCAATCTTCAGAGGGGCCTTAAAACTTGGAAAACCAGGTAATATTATTTTCTTATTATTTGAAAATTGAAGGTGTCCTTGATGGCATTCTATATAGTGTCTGTTTTTCTAGACTTTACAAGCAGTCTATATTTAGATCTGCCATTTTTTTCTTTTATTTAAAAAGCAAAATAGATGGCTACCTCTGTAATTAAAACTCTCATGTATATTTGTCTTCATATACTTTGGTGAATGGAAAGAGTGTTGAGATGTATAGTTAGTGTGCTAGGTATTGCTCATAAGAATTAGTAGGCCATTCTTTCCATGGGTCATGAGAAATGTGAGAAACAAAAGGTTGAGTACTGCTATCTGTACCCTTCTGGTTTTTTATAGACTGACCTCTGCATTTTCATTTTTTGATCTGCAAGGTCAGCCCACAAAGCTTTATTGATCACAGTGATGAAATAGTAGTGTATTGGAAGGCATATGTAAAACGGGATAACCTAGCCCTGATGTCCAAAGGCTCCAACACAAAATCCAGTGAGGGATTTCCCATTTGCTCTTTGAGAGCTTATGATTTTATTGCTGTGCTGTCTTTGGGTAAAATGATTTCATAACCTAATCCATCTTGCTATGGAATCATTATAAAGCCCTATGAATTTGTTTATTTACATTTCTTTTCTGAGACAAATATGAGAGTAAGACAGAATCCACCTCTTATGCTTTCATTCCACTCTTTTTATCTATTCTCATGGACTATATTATTAGCATAAATTAGATTTAATTTCTCTGTTTCTTACATATTTGGAGGTTTGAAGAAAAAGATTATTCATGGACCACATGGAATTAATGCCATCTAGAATTTTATTGCTTCCTTCTTCATTTTTTCTAGTATTTGAGTTCATGCTAGGTCTCATTTCAAAACAGATGTACTTTAAAATGGGTAAGGGGCACCTGGGTGGCTCAGTTGGTTAAGCATCTGACCCTTGGTTTCAGCTCAGGTTATGATCCCAGGGTCATGAGATCGAGCCCCGAGTCAGGCTCCATAGTCAGCGGGGAGTCTGCTTGAGATTCTCTCCCTCTGCCCTTCCCCTGCTCGTGTGCTCTCTCTCTCCTTCTAAAATAAGTCTTTTAAAAAGATAAAATGGTTAGAATTCTGAATTCTGCTTAATATGTGTTTTAATAGCATATTAAATAAAGTTGACAATGGCCATGGTATACATTAAGTCAAAAAGCTGAAAAAGGAATTTTTTTTCCTTTAAATGTAACAAATGGATTTGTAATCACAGTTGTTCTAATATGCTCAGTGTTCTATAAGACTTGATAGTTGTTACTGGAAATCTGATCTATTGAGAAAAGTAACTTAAAGCATTAAATTACTTTCTCTTGCTTCCTGAGATTGATAAACTGTCAAAACGTGGATACTGTTTATATAGCCTGTTGTTTAAATAGTCTGTGATTGTTATGTGTCCTAAAATGGCGTGGTACATACTATATTCAACATGCACATGTCTCCTGGACAAATAACACTTATCTTTCCAAGGAAAAAGCTGATATCTGAACAGATGAAACGACTTGGTCAAGGTCACCAAATAAAGTACACACACATTTAACTGATTAAATAATTATCTCAAATGATTAATTTTAATTCCATATTCATAATGTGATCTAAAAATCTCATTTAATAACATTCACATTATCTTGTAGTTAGTGTGCTTAAAATCTAAATGAAGATACAGTGAAATATATATATAGTTTATATCATAACATAGGTGTCTCAAGTCAGGTCTCTAAGAAGCAGACCCTGAAAGAAAGTTTGTGTGGTAGTGTGCCCAAGGTAAAACCAGTAAGAAGGTAGAGGCAGCATATAGAAAAGAAAAAGAAGCCAAGAAAAGATATGGTTCTAGGTGAGGTCTCAGCCTGATCCTGTGGGGAGCTCTGGAGCATAAGTTATTAAACTTCAGAGTTTGTCTTGCCTTGTGGCAAAGGAACTGGGCTTTTAGATTCCCACACGGGTCACTCATTGGCTGTGCCTCACTCTGGGACTGTGGGAGGCAGGGGTGAGGGAGCGAGGTGTGGGGGCTCTAAGACATTTCTGACTCTCTGTTCACACACTGAGACTCCAGTGTCCAAGAGCAAGCCTTTCAAGGTCAGAGGTACAGCATTTCGCAGCATAACACGCAGAAGCTAGATGAATACACAAGAGTTTAGGGAAAGGGCTCTGAGGAGAATCATGACTGGATGCCAGCGGTGCCTGCAACTTGGTCTGGTGGGAAAAACAGTGGCCTTTAGGGACAGAAAAGTGCATGTTCAAGTTCCGGTCTTACTCATCAGGCGTAAGCCTGGGCAGATTACTTGGGTAATCTCATACACAAATGTTTGTGAATAAATCCTTTTCATTTCTCTTCCCAAACTCTAGCAAAATGCCTGGCATATAGTTGGCATTCAAGAAGAGAATGTTGAATAGATGAAACCACTAAACCTATTTTTATATAGCTCTGGTGGGATTCAGCTTGTTGGGTTTTATTGTTATTGTTGTTTGTCGCTTTTTTATTTTTATTGTTCTCCCTTTGCATTGCATAGAACTTGACTTCTGTGGTTTTAATTCACATCTTACTGGAATACCAACTATCTCTACCTCAGGATTGACTCTGGGATTAATGTTCACATCATAAATTTGTGATATATATGTGCATTTTAAAAATCACACATACATGTGTGTGTATACATACACACATATATATATTGATGGGACTTAGCAAGCCCCCCACTAGTCAAGAGTGAGCCTGAGGTTTTTCTCCTCTTATCAGCCAGATCCTAGGAAGTGAATTTGAATGCTAGACTTTGATCAAGTTCCCCATAAAAGTGTTATGAAAAAAAAATTAAAAATAGATTTGATTAGCTAATTATTCTTTTTTTTAAAGATTTTACTTATTTGTCAGAGAGAAAGAGCGAGCGAGCACAAGCAGGGGAGCGGCAGGCAGAGGGAGGAGCAGACTCCCTGCTGAGCAGGGAGCCCGATGTGGGACTCGATTCCAGGACCCCAGGATCACGACCCGAGGTGAAGGCAGACGCCCAACTGAACCACCCAGGCGTCCCTAGCTAATTATTCTTAAGATAATCAGTGTTAACCTATCAGGTCACACATAAATGGAGAAGCCAT